TCTTTGGGTCTGAAGCTACATGGGATTTGCAAACAAGATCCACTCAGTGCTTCCAGCTTCTTTGATGCATTTATGAAGACTGCTGCTTCATCAGGACAATCAGCCAAAGTACCTGTAAATACAACTGAATAATTATTACATTAACACCCTCATTATTCTTCTTTAAACATTATTAAATGTTCATCAAACTACACTTATACATCCTAGTAAGTCACTGAGATTTTCACATGTAAAGTTTTAACAGATATTCCTGAGGTGACAGCCATTTATCCTCCACCATTTAAAAAGTTGGATTCATTGTAAAAACTCAGAGTAACAAACATTAAAGACAGTGATCATATATAAAACAGCTCACCTGAAAGAAAGAGGACAATCAGTAACATGCCAACTGTCATCATGTTCAGATTGAAGTTCAGTGGAGCTGTGTGCACTGAAAAACAATAACAAAACACAGAAAACTGAATTCATACAGATAACAAAACATCAATAAATACCCACTTAACATGTTGATGCTGAATAGCCATCAGCTGACCCTCTTTTGTTTCTTGTCTTGGTTGAAAAACAGCTTCAAAATCAAACTTCTGCCGACACCAAAATAGCACAGCAGTAAGTTTAATGTCTGCTGAACATGTTTTTGTAACTTTGCTTGGATGTTACTGAAAATAAATCTTTATGCTGGTGGTGTTTGTGACAGTGGCTGCATTAAGGTGCATGAAACTGGATTTTTAAAAAAAGTTTTCTACATACATGTAAAGTTCACCATTAAACAAAAGGCCCGATTAATAAAAAGGCCCAGAATCTGCATGTAGATAATCAATAATGATTTTAAAGTGTTTATCTTTAGACAAACAACCATTTAGTAACCAAACCAGTTGTGAATCAAATGTATTTTTTTTAAAAAGACATGTGTTTCCCTGCTTTCAATATATACTGCAGTCATAAATGTCTCTTCCTCTGAAATAATACTACTGTTTTAAACATGATTTCTGGCTAACGATACTGTGTATCTGTATTAGATGAATTACAAATTTTAAATTTAATTTAAGAAGGAAAAAACCAAACACGAAAGGATCTCTTACCTAAGGAGCTCAAGTGAAGTCTTGTAACTGTAGAATGAAATGAAGCAGAATTACAATAAAACATGAACTAGTTGCTGCCAATGTCAGAAGAAGAACTAATGAAACACCCAAAGACTAAAACAATGTAAAAAGTTTCTTGTCCTTCCTGATTATGTTCAGCAAAAGAGGAAGTTACTGCAGCAGTCTTTTTTTCTGCCACTCACTTGTAAGTTTAACCTTTTAACAGAACTGCACAAAAAGTAACAGACAACGTACATGCTGTTTAGAAAAGTGCAGTTTTTTTGGGATGCAAAGTGAAATATGTTCTTATAAATTAAGAACAGTAGCGGTTATTGATACGGGCGACACGGGGCAGCATCGTGGTGGGGGGCGGCATCACGGGCATCAGCAAAAAAACAAAAATAAATTGCTCGTACTCATTCTGCCCCGACATCAGCCAGCGCATATTGGGAATGTCATAGGCACCTATTGGTTTTCTATCGCCCATTTGCTGGGAGTAAGGGCGCCCTCCGTTTGCGAGGTGCGCCTGCTGCTTGCGGCACAGGGAGGAGAGGGCGGGGCGG